AGTGTTTGCCAAAGAGAGTGTTCCAGGAGGTAGCTCATAAGATATATAAAGATACCATGACCAATGGCAGAGAAAAGCTTCAGAGATCTAGTAGTGTCAGGTTTTATTCCCCTATCCCTGTCCTACTAAAAATCATCAATAAAGAGGCTTAACACCACCTGGACCTGAAGCACAACAAAAACAGGCTCAAATAATCTCTTTCCTCCAGTGCCATTTGCAGTAGCAATCCTACTGCTTTCTCCAAAAGGGGAGGATAGAAATGGATTAGAACAGATAGAATAGAATAGATAGAAAATATGAGCAATAAAAGCAGAAAATATCGACACTTAATTGCTCTTATCAACATGGTATAAGCTTGAATATAGACTCCTATCAGTGCTTGGTCAGAATCACTCCTTATTTTACAACAATAGTACTCTACACATCTCTTTGCTTTGTTCGTTTCCTGGAACATCTTGGAAAACCACAGGATGCCCTAGTAAGAGGGCATTCAGGTACAACTTCCATGTTCCAACAGGGATTAAGGTCTTGAGAAAGCTGATTTAACAAGAGCCTCTGGAAGCCCTTCCGATTCCATCAGATGCCCACAGTGTCTTCTGTGAACTCAGTTTCACTAGTAAAACTTCACAAAGATTTCCTTCTACCTGACAAAAAGTATCCCTGGATATCAGCACAGTCTCCTGAATGATATTTGCCATTACTCTCTTGATGTAAAACCTGAACTTCAGACAGACACCTCTAAGAGGGGAATACCCAGGTGAATACTCAGGCCTACCTGAGGATGAGGCAAGCTTTTTAATTGATAGACCAGGCATTTAGCAACATCCTGTCCCTTTAATCCCATCCCAAATACATGAAGGGACACAAGTGCCACAGTGATTTGTGTTCTAGATATACTTTATATTCATATAAATAATTTTCTAGGGTCTATTATAATATGAGGAATATTCTTCATTTTGCTCTATGACGGGGCCAGTTTAAGGAATTTGGGGTCCAATGCAACTCCAGTTTGGAACTCCTCCACTGCACATAGTTTAATATTGCAAATGGATTCCAGGAAAAAGAGAGGGAGGAGGAAGAGACAGAGCTTTAGAGAAAATAGTACTTTGCATTGACAGAATGATGTGGGAGGGAACAGAATGAAACAGCATCACTTAGTAAAATCTTGCTTGGAATTACCCTATTACCTTGACTGATCTGTTGGTTGATCATGAAGCAATGGCTGAATATGTCTGCCCTTTAATCCCTCACCTGCTGGCCCCCTGCTAAGGTCCACTCACTTTTTCTGAAGTCCAGAGTACCTGCATCTGATGCCACCTCCTTAAATCAGCTCTGCTCTATTTTTCATAGAAAGATGTTTGCAAAGTGGAATCATGAATTCCACGTAGAAACAATGTCATCTGGACAACTTGTAACTGTCCATTAAACATCCTCTACCTCAGGGTTTTCAAACCCACGAAATCTGTTTCTTTTACACCTGGAACCACAAGTCGAGAGGCAAAGCACAAGTGAGAGAGCACTGCCTGGATTTGAGTGAATTTTTGTTGTTATTGTTACTCTTATTTTCTCAAAGAAATCCCATCACCTTCTGATGGGCCCATAGAGTTCCACATGTGTGGAAATTACCCCCACATACATGTGAGCTGACTTCACTACCAATCCTATAAGATGCTCCCCCCCCAATGGTGGGTTTCAAACTTTTTTGGTACTGGTTCTGTGGGCGTGGCTTGGTGGGTGTGGCAGGGGAAGGTTACTGCAAAATCCCCATTTCCTCCCGATCTGCTGGGACTCAGGAAGAATAGAATAAAAGGGGGGGGGGGCAATCAGAGGTGGTATTTACCAGTTCTCTGAACTCAAATTTCTGTTACCGGTTCTTCAGAACTGGTCAGAACCTGCTGAATACCACCTCTGCCCCACACACATAAAAGTGATCCTGAGTGGTAACAGGGGCAGGAAACTGACAGGAACCACTGGTCTACTTAGGCCAAATTGTTACATTCATTGACCTTATCTCAGAGGTAGTAGGGCTAGCATGCTGACCTAGTAAGAATTGATAACTAATACCGAGGTCATCAGGTTGCTTTATCAAAAACATTTCAACATTGTGCTGTGTTTGCCTTTCTTTTTCTTTTCTTTGTAAGGCACTAGGCCAAAGGTATATAAGCTGTGGTCTAGTTTTGCTTAAGGCTGTTCAGTTAGTTGCTAAATAGCTGTAGTTGTTTGCAAGCATAATAAGAAGCACATGATACATCTTCAAAGTGATTTGGTTCGCTTAAGAGAGTTAGATTTTGCCACAACTCATGGAATGCAGCTTGAAAAACACTGTTGTAATGATTCAAATAATGTAAATCATTTTTTTACACTTTGGAGTTGGAATAGTGTGTGTGTGTGTGTGTGTGTGTGTGTGTGTGCTTGCTTAGTATGTGTGTTTAGAAAAGATGATTTTGAAGCTAAAACATGAAATGAGTTATTTCATTTATGACCCATCTTTCCTTCAGGGCTCCAAATGGTTTGCAACCACACACCTTCCTCCTATTTTATTCCCACAACAATAGATCCAGAATGATTCCTGTCAGCTGGAATGCCATAAGTCTTTAAAAATCTGACTTTTCTCCCTGGTCACTGAACCCTCTTTTTTTGGGATGGCCTTTGGCATCTATGTTGTCCAGACATGGAGGCTTCCTTCTATGTATTATTGTTTTGATTCTTAACATTTAAGCCACCCAGAATTGCTTTGGACAGGAAAATTTAGACAACAACAGCAATGAACATAATCATTCTGCTCACACAGCATTGTAAATGTGAATTCAGCATGGGCTGAGAGACAATTTCTGGCTAAAATTATCTAGTGGTTGAGGCTAAAGAGCTACCTCTTGGT